CCATGTTTAGATAGAGGGGCAACACAGAGTATGGTACTTTGGAGCGGCATGTTTATGATGAAGCTGATGGGGGATATTGAACTGGAGGCGCGAGGATGAGGACGACGAGTCATGTAAGGGGGAGGAGGATGAGCAGGAACAGGAGCAGGAGGAGGAGGAGGAGAATGAGGAGGAGGAACAGAGGGGTACTGTGGACGATCAGTGTGAGCTTTAAGATGATGTTGACGATGAGGTGGAGCAGGAAGAAGAGGAAGAGTAGACAGATCAAGAAAGAGAAGGAATATGGATCAGTAGCTGGGTGAGGATCAGGGTGAGGTGGTGGACCAGGAGGATGTGGAGGAGGAGGTAGATGATGATGAGGAGGAGGAGCAGCGTACCCGCGGGCAGGCTGCAGGGCTTGTACGACACGCTCTCCGATCTGGATGACTGGCGGGTGCTGGCCTGGAGGGACTTGTGGCGTCTGCAGGACATCGAGGACTGGCTCCTGCTGCTGCTCCTGCTGCTGCTGCTGCTGCTGCTCCCCTGCACTTCGCCTCTCAGTTGCGCGCGTTGCGCCCGTATTCGTCATCGCTGTCCTCCTCCTGCTTCGTCCTCCGTTCCGTCCCAGGACTGGGTCGGGAGCCACGACTTCATGACGACCCTGTTCCTCCAGGGCCCCCACGCGGGCCCGCACCACGTCGCGTCGGAGTTGGAGGTTCGGATGGGGGCGAGAAAGGTGCACTTCGCCCCTCGCTGGTAGGGACTGCGGGATGACACGGTAGGAGGAGGAGGAGGAGGGGGAGGAGGAGGAGGAGGATGAGGAGGATGAGGAGGAGTACGAGGAGGAGGAGGAGGAGGAGGAGGAGGAGGAGGAGGATCACTGAACTTGCTTCTAGGTCTGCGAGCGGGCCCCCATTAACAGTTACTCAATGGAAAAGGTAAGTCCGAGGAATTGCTAATGGGGGGCACTCTTTGCTTGGGGAAGCCCCTGCTCGCAGCCTGTTGTGGGGGTTGCTAGATGGGGGCCAGCCTGGGCTAGCAGCCCCCAAGACGGCTTCCTCGACGGCGGCAGCTTGCGCGTAGCGGTCGCAGCAGCCACCTTCTGGCGGCTGAACGGCCCTGCCATCCCCTGAGGTTTTGGCGGGGAGGTGCCGACGAGCAGGGGCGAAGCGTTGTGAAGGGGGGAGGCGGACGTTTTCACAGGTTGATGCGTGTCCTTCGAGAGGGGGGAGAAGGAGGCAGTGAATCCGGCCCAGCAGACTGGGCGGCGGAGCCGGAGCTCGAGGAAGGAGGAGAAGAGCGGTGGGGGCTGTCACCCTGGGGAGAGGGGAAGGGAGTGGACTGAAGAGCGAGGCGGGCCAGCTGGGAAGTGCTGCCCACCTGGGCTGTGCCGCGGTCGCCCTGCAGCCACAACAGACCTGCGGCCCGATGGGGGCGGGGCTCCCTGGCAGCAGGTCAAGGCTCTGGTGGGCGTGCTGCGGTGGCAGCCCTGCCACTGTCGCCCCGCTGTTCCCTCGCATGCAGGCTATTCTGAGGTGCTCTTCGGGCGCGCGGGGAAAGCGCGCCCTCGGTGGCGCCCCGTGCGTCCTCAGAAAACTCTTGCAAGGGGTTCAGAACGACAGATTATGTGTCAGCGAGATGCTGCTAGGCTACACAATGCGATGCAACACAGCAGGAGGCCATGCAAAGTGCTGAAGAAGGCACCAAGAGGCCCCCCAAACTTGCTGCACTTAGGCAGCGCTAAGTGCAGCAAGTGCGCCTGCGTGCGAAGAAGGCTCCCAAAGGCCCCCACATCTGGCTGTACTTAGGCAGCGCCATGTGCAGAAAGTGCGTCTGCGTGCCGATGGCAAAACCGGCGGACGTTAGAGTCGCCGACTCCTGCCATGCACAAGGGAGGCCACCCTGCCTCCTCAAACGAGGGGCTCCGCAGGTGAGCAGCTAGCACCTTGCAACAAGCTGTCTGGAGGAATGCGGTGGAGGGCGGCCCATGGCTGGGGGATGGCGGGGAGGTCGGCGCGGCAGGGGGAGGGGGAGATTGGCGTGGCTCTGCCGCGCCCCGGCGCAGGTCGTCGGAGAGAATTGACAGGGGCAAGGCGAAGCGAATGAAGCGAAGCCGCGGTGGAACGAAGCGTGGGTTTCAGCTGAAGGCCGCGCCCGCGACCGCGGTGGGGGGCGAAGCGGAGGTGGGGGGCGAAGCGGAGGAAGAGGAGGTGGCCTGGCTCTCGGGCGCTTCCAACTCTTGCCGGAGCTGAAGCAGCGCGCAGAATGAGAGGAGATCGCCCACGATAATAATGCGCTCTGCTCTACTCCCCTGCTACTGCTGCCCCGTCCGACAGGGCGGACAAATCCTGCCCCCCCCCCCCCCCGAAGTCCTCTCAGTGTAGATTTTATATCAACGAGGCGCTGCTGGGCTACGAAACGCGATGCAACACAGCAACAGGAAACGCAAAGTGCTGGAGACGGCTCCAGGGCCCCCAAGCTTGTTGCACTTAGGCAGCGGTACGTGCAGCAAATGCGCCTGCGTGCGAAGAAGGCTCCAAGAGGCCCCCACATCTGGCTGCACTTAGGCAGCGCCATGTGCAGCAAGGGCGTCTGCGTGCCGGGTGACACCAAGGAGCGCGATGTAACGCATTCGATGGAGCAACATAATATTGACATTGCTGGGACCTCATGGATGCTGCCGCATGCTGCCGAAGCTGTTATCCCACTTGGTGGGATTGCTAGCCTAGTGTGCGCTCAGTGCTGGGGCCCGCGCCTGCGAATCTCCTCGCCTGCGGGCGCGCGAAGACAAGCCGGGCGAGGTCCCTACCTGGAGACAAACAGGAGAAGTGGAGTGGAGGTGCGCACAGCGACCTAGCCTAAACAGGCGCGGCGCTGCGGATGCCAAGAACACTGCCGTAATGTTGAGTCGGGCTGGCCGAAACAACAGACCCAGAGCCAGTCGGGTATGCCATGCGTAGCCTTAGCCCACAGTCCTCGCAGAATTTCTGGGACATTGCCTGAGAGCGCGCGGCCTGTAATCCCAGAGCTCCAGCCTTGTTTGTTGAGTCGGTCTAACGGGCCGCAGGCTAGTTGGGTATGCGGTGCATAGCCTTAGCCCACAGCTCTGGCAGAGTTCCAGTGATGCTGGCCCAGCCTGCACAGGTGCGGCGCTGCGGGTGCCAGGAATCCTGCCGTGATTGTTGAGTCGGGCTGGCCGAAACAACGGTCGGCGAGCTAGTTGGGTATGCTGTGCATAGTCTTAGCCCACAGACCGGGCAACATTCCCAAGATCCTAGAGAAGGGGGATGAGAAGGCAGTGGGGCGGGCTAGCTGGGGGTTGGGCGGAGGAGTGGCCAAGCGAGGAGGAGGAGGAGGAGGAGGAGGAGGAGGAGGAGGAGGAGGAGGAGGAGGAGGAGGAGGAGGAGGAGGAGGAGGCGGAGGAGGAGGAGGAGGAGGAGGAGGAGGAAGGAGGAGGAGGAGGGAGGAGGAGGAGAGGAGCCAGTCCTGCAGTGCCTAATTATGCTTGGCCCCCAGCCCCCCGCTGAGGGACCCTGGTCCTGGCTAGCGCCAGTCGTGCATCAGTTCTGGCCAACGCCATTCGTGCGGGCGCCTGCCGAATTTGGCCTTTCTCGCCCCGACCTCCATTCTCTGGCCCTCGTGGTCGGGGTGCTCGTCAGGGCCAGGATGGGTCCTTCAAACCCGCCCCGTGCGTGGCGTCCCCGTCTACCTCGAGTACCAGGGAGGCTGTGGGGTCTTCGGCAC